TAGTATATATTGTACTACATGTATAAGTACATATTGTACTTCATGTATAAGTATATATTGTACTACATGTGTAAGTATATATTGTACTACATGTGTAAGTATATATTGTACTATCTACATGTATAAGTATATATTGCACTACATGTAAAATTATATATTGTACTTTCTACATGTATAAGTATATATTGTACTACATGTGCAAGTATATATTGTACTACATGTATAGGTATATATTGTACTATCTACATGTATAAGTATATAATGTACTACATGTGTAAGTATATATTGTACTACATAAATAAGTATATATTGTACTACATGTATAAGTATATAATGTACTACATGTTTAAGTATATATTGTACTACATGTATAAGTATATATTGTACTATCTACATGTGTAAGTATATATTGTACTACATGTGTTAGTATATATTGTACTACATGTATAAGTACATATTGTACTTCATGTATAAGTATATATTGTACTACATGTATAAGTATATAATGTACTACATGTTTAAGTATATATTGTACTACATGTATAAGTATATAATGTACTACATGTTTAAGTATATATTGTACTACATGTATAAGTATATATTTTACTATCTACATGTATAAGTATATAATGTACTACATGTGTAAGTATATATTGTACTACATTTATAAGTATATATTGTACTACATGTGTAAGTATATATTCTACTACATAAATAAGTATATATTGTACTACATGTATAAGTATATAATGTACTACATGTTTAAGTATATATTGTACTACATGTATAAGTATATAATGTACTACATGTTTAAGTATATATTGTACTACATGTATAAGTATATAATGTACTACATGTTTAAGTATATATTGTACTACATGTATAAGTATATATTGTACTACAGGTATAAGTATATATTGTACTACATGTATAAGTATATATCGTGGGGTTAATGCAACAAGGTGCTTTTGACAATTTTCAAAGTTTTGAGTAAACGGCAAAACAAACTTTCAAATGTGTTTCTCTGCACATGTGTGATTTATATATCTCAATAGTACCAACCAAATTAAATATTTAGTGATTATATATCATTTGACAAAATGAAAAGGTCAAAGGTCAATATTGACCTTGTCATTTAAGGTCATTCAGAAAAAGGCACCTTGTTGCGTGGTGAAATTGATCATATATTAAATGCAACAAGGTGCTTTTAGTAAAGAAAGCACCTTGTTGCATCAAAATGGAATCAAATCAGAACAAGTTGTTTCATGCAACAAAGTGTTTATTTATATATTGCATTAAAATGCATATAAATTCAATCAGAGTACACACATGATATACATATTAATGATTATACGGTTTTTGTGTACAATACAATGCACACGGATGCTGTTTAGTGGCTTGTTTCCGGAATGAAATCGGGATAAAGGGTCAACTATTTAGTGCCAGCAGTTGATGTACTTACCATTATATATGTGTGAGTGAACCATTGCTTTGTATATTATTTTGTAAATAGTCCTGCAATTATCAGGTAATATTGAACGGTTATATATAGCTACACTATTTCTACATGTCAGTGGTCTCCTCCTCCTCATCCTCCTCGTCACTTGGCAGCAAGTCTTTTTTTTGTTTTGTCAGTAACTAAAGCGTTGTAGTAGGCATGACAATCCTCAGGTATTATTCAAGACCGACACAATGACAGTAGGTCATTTTTTTGGCCACTGACACTGGCCTTTTTTCAGTGTAGCATGCCTTCAGCTGGTAGTGTCCGTGTGATGACCGCCGCCTGGTAACCCGAATTTCAAGAAACTGAGCCGGATCATACGTGTAATTGACAAATAAAGTGTCTGGTGTTTCCTTCCTCACTTGTAACCACTTAATGTTCATCCAGTTGACGCGTTTGCCTTGAACATCGACCTTCATATTCCCATACATTTCGGTTTTTAGAGCTTTTAGGTCATAAAAGTCGTTGAATTTCAGTGGAATCACTACATATGGCTTATTCCTCCTTGCCATTGCAATCACAGTTGCCCAATGACTAGGAACGTTGATTGGGGTATTTTTCTTGGCATGTTCAACAGCTGAGGGAATGGAATCGGATTCCATATGGGAATGTCCCTATTCAAAGAACTTTTGGTTGATTTCTTGCAGATGCTCGCTTTTCTTAATGGCGTACAATAGACCACTTGCCATGAATTGATTTCGGTTTTGGCCCCCACATGTGTCAGAGTAGTATGTTATTTCCTTCAAATTGATGGTTTGCTCTGAAACTGAGCTGATATGTTTCAGTAGGCAACTTCCAATCTCATTTGCTCCACGCCCACCTTGAGTTTCATCCCTTGTAACATGTTCCCTTTTGATCAGCGAGTGAATAGTACGACAAGTTGTTGCAACTTATTTTTCTTTTGTAGTACAACTCACCAACAAGAGAACAGGGAGTTGGTAGCACAGCTTCCAAATCAAACGTTGAAACATGAACCGATTTGTCGTTTCTTGCTTTGTCTTTGTCTTTTTGTTTTTCCTCTCGTGCCCACATATTCATCTGTTGATGTCTGCTATATTCTAATTCCATATCCTCATTTAAAGTACCGTCACGTTTTCTCTTATCATAACGATTACAAACAGAACACTGATCTTTTTTTGGTTTGTGAAAGGACATGTTGAAGTTCTCACAAAATGCTTTTCTATAAAAGCTTTCTGATATCGGACACTTCTCACTTGGGTAATGTTTCTCTTTGAAAAGTTTGAACATGATTTTGATGTTAAGCCCTGCTCCTAGATAACTTATCTTGGATGTCGAACGGGAATAATGAGACTCCATAGTGGGGAATGATTTGATGTGGTCATGAATCTGTTTAACAACAGGTTGTGGTATCTTGTTAGCAGATGCTTTTGATCCTCGCCTGTCCTGCCCTACAAATGTGCCCAGGTATTTCTTCTGAATTGCATAATCAATGGTTTTCTTTCCAATGCTTAGTGTTTTCAGAAAAAAATGTTTGCAGACACGATGTTTGATTCCATTGACCGTGAACTGAAACACATTGGAGAATGTTTTCCTTTTTGTACTCTTTTTGTTTCCTTGGGTAACATTCTGCCATATAAACGAACGTTGTTTGTCATAATCTCCCAGCTGCCAGTATGTTGTGAACAGTTCTTGTCTTTCCTCCTCTGAAATCTTTGAGGAACACTTGAATCTGCAAGTGATACAGTTAACTTTTCCTAGGGTTTTAGCCTCCACTTTCTTTCCTCTGCTTGATGTATACAATTTACCATTATTTCTCAATTCTTTTCGCTGGTTTCTCTTCCATTGTACGGCATTGCATTTTCGTTTGCGAAAGATGTTTCTACGCAGAGGGCTCTTGCGTGAAGCAACTTTGTGAGGTGTAACTGTGGTTGCCTGTCCGGGAACCATCTTTGTCGGTGTCCTTTCATGCATAGCTGCAGTCTCATGTTCATCAGCTGCTGAATTGGTGACTGGACGGACATCAATATGTTGTACAGCATCATAATGTTCTTGTCCTCTCATGGCAACGCACGCTATTTTAATGAATTTCTCAGTGGTGTCCTCATTCAAGTCTGGTTGTATATCATATACAGGGTTTTCAACCCTGCTTGAATAGACCCTTACAGGCGTCTTGTATATATTGGCCAGTGCGAGTGGAACACAGTCTGCTAGATCTGTGTTCCATGTTGAATCCTCCTTTAATTTTTCAACCTCCTCTCCATACTTTCTTTGATCATCTTCTTGTTGTGTAGATAACCGGAATGCTTTGTAATGCTCATAATTGTCGCACAAATGGTTGGCAATGTCTGACCTTAGCGATTGCACTGTGGTGGAGGCATCGTCCAGTTGAGGTAGAACAGTATGCATAAAACAATTCCCATCGGCACTAACAGGATATCTTTTTAAATTGATACTTGTCAAGAGATTGTCAAGTCGTTTTTTGGGATATGATTCAATCATCCGGTGTATTTTGGCTGTTGTTGCACTTCTCTCCAGTGCATGTTGTAGAGCGTTGGCTGTTTTTTTCTTTGGATTTTTATTATTTCCATGAGACCTTGCAGTCTTTTTAGTTTTAATATCTTTTACTGGACGATTTGTGTTGTGCAATGATTTTTGTTTCTTTCTTTTCACATCTGCGTGTTGCCTTGTTTTTCCTCTCCTTCGTTTTTTTGGTTTTGGAATCTGAGGAATGTGGTCGTCCTGGTCCTCACTAGTTGAAATATTATTCTTGAGGAATGATGGATCCTCCTCAGAGTCTGATGAGTTGATATCCTTCTTTGTTGGCTCATACGTTTGATCTCTTTCATCATCAGCAGCATCAGCATCATCATCATCAGAAGTATGCACTTTATTTTGAAGACGCTTTCTGAGCGTCGCCAAGGGAAGATTTTCTTCTTCATCAGTATCCATACTTTCACTTATTTTGACACCCGTTGGTTCATTTGAGGGTGCATGTATGGTTTCCGGACATTGTGTTGCTTTCAAGTGTTCTTCACCTATTTGGTCGAATACAGAGTCCGACATATCCGACCACTGGCTTGATAGTGTATCGTCATTGCATTCTGTTTCATTGCTGGCCATCTGTAATAATAATAAATGCAAACGCTGTAATGGATTATACAGTAAATTGTAAATAAAACAAATTATGTATCTATAACAAAGTGTGTATACATCTATTTAAACGAATATAAAACAACTACGATTGTATATTATACTAACCATTTACATTTTAAGATACATATAACGTTATTGACAGACTAGCTTATATAATACAATAGATAGAATTATATTTACTATACAAACATTGCTATTAATTAATTAATAATTCTTACCTTTTACTTTACCAGCATTCCCTTTTATACAAGCATCAATGTAGTTTCAAGACTGTTGTACGTGTGTCTAGTTGTAAAATTATACAATAATGAACGAATAATTCGTCAGAACAATAATGGAATGTGTATACATCAGTATTTTAATCACAAGGTATTTTAACATTTATAAACAAACTGTGTATGTGATGAAAGCCACAAGGTGCCTTTTCAATTAATTGGCTAGTAATGTGAAGCCCAAATTCATTACATCCAGTGTGCTACAAGGTGCCTTATCTGAAAAAGCACCTTGTTGCAGTGACTCATGTCCATATATCAACTTGTTGCCCTAATGGTTTTCCCCATTTTACAAATAGCCCCTATTGGTAATTAGCATATAACTTAATTAATTATTAACGAATTGCTTCAAAACTTTTACACATGGAAGAAATCACTTTTCTCAATACAAAAGTGCCAAAAAGTGATTTTCGTCAAAAACGTCATATGGCACCTTGTTGCATTAACCCCACGATATTATACTATCTACAAGTATAAGTATATATTGTACTACATGTATAAGTATATATTGTACTACAGGTATAAGTATATATTGTACTACATGTATAAGTATATATTATACTATCTACAAGTATAAGTATATATTGTACTACATGTATAAGTATATATTGTACTACAGGTATAAGTATATATTGTACTACATGTATAAGTATATATTATACTATCTACAAGTATAAGTATATATTGTACTACATGTATAAGTATATATTGTACTACAGGTATAAGTATATATTGTACTACATGTATAAGTATATATTATACTATCTACAAGTATAAGTATATATTGTACTACATGTATAAGTATATATTGTACTACAGGTATAAGTATATATTGTACTACATGTATAAGTATATATTGTACTACATTTTCACATGTATTAAACCGGAAGTACTTGTGTTCACAGTCCATGTGCTCAGTCAATCTGTCCTATACATAAATATGACCAAATCACATGTTAAGTGACCGCGGTCACGACTCTGTCAGTTTTCTTTTAGCAGGATCCTAGATATCCAACTATTTGTAGATTCATGACGAATACATAATGCCATTTTGTCACGGTAAGACACGAGAGGTACGTGGATATATTGATATGTTTTGCTATAATTGATATAACATTATTATTTATCACACTTCCTTACATTCTAATGTACACAAAATGAGTTAGTGCCAATAACAGCTGAACCTGTACCTCAATCAGACCAGCTATTGTTCGGGAGTCGATGACAAGGCGGTATCATGGTTGACGTAATGCATGTGTAATTCTGTTTGGCGGTAACGTATTTATGATCTGTCTGCATGCACATCTCCTTAAAAAGCACATTAAATTGGCGTTATGGAGTGGCGGCTATTACGTTACTGCTATGAGCATGCTTTCTGGACAAGTAAACGACTTGGCATCATTGTTTGGGGAACACGTAAATGGGAGGCAGCGTATGTCGTCTGCTCACATTGATTTTACAATATTCCTATTTATGATGTAAACGTTCCTTCCCGCCATTGTGGTTCATGTAAAGTGAAGCCTCGACGCTTTTGTTAGCGTCACTTTTGGTGTCTGCAGTGTATTTCTAATCCTATTTCTCCTTTGAACCTCATATCCTCTTCTGCTCTTTCCTTCCTTAATTCCGTTATTGTACAACCTCTCTCATTCTCCTTCATTGTGCCAAATATTACATATGATACGGAGATCACGAGAGAAGGGCGTGAATATCTACTCAACACTCACATCCAGTCGGTAGAGGATCTCCAGGCTTCACACAACCAGTCGGTAGAGGATCTTCAGGCTTACACACAATCAGTCGGTAAAGGATCTTCAGGCTTACACACAACCAGTTGGTAGAGGATCTTCAGGCTTCACACAACCAGTCGGTAAAGGATCGTCAGGCTTACACACAACCAGTTGGTAAAGGATCTTCAGGCTTACACACAACCAGTTGGTAGAGGATCTTCAGGCTTACACACAACCAGTCGGTAGATGATCTTCAGGCTAACACACAACCAGTCGGTAGAGGATCTTCAGGCTTACACACAACCAGTCGGTAGAGGATCTTCAGGCTTCACACAACCAGTCGGTAAAGGATCTTCAGGCTTACACACAACCAGTCGGTAGAGGAGCTTAAGGTTTCCTACACTCAGAACCAGTCGGTAGAGGAGCTTCAGGCTTCCTACACTCACAACCAGTCTATAGAGGAGCTTAAGGTTTCCTACACTCACAACCAGTCGGTAGAGGAGCTTCAGGCTTCCTACACTCACAACCAGTCTATAAAGGAGCTTAAGGTTTCCTACACTCACAATCAGTCGGTAGAGGAGCTAAAGGTTTCCTACACTCACAACCAGTCGGTAGAGGAGCTAAAGGTTTCCTACACTCACAACCAGTCGGTAGAGATGCTTAGGGTTTCCGACACTCACAACCAGTCTGTAGAGGAGCTTCAGGCTTCCTCTACTCACAACCAGTCTGTGTAGGAGCTTAAGGTTTCCTACACTCACAACCAGTCGGTCAAGGAGCTTCAGGCTTCCTACACTCACAACCAGTCTGTAGAGGAGCTTCAGGCTTCCTACACTCACAACCAGTCTGTGTAGGATCTTCAGGCTTACACACAACCAGTCGGTAGAGGAGCTGCAGGTTTCCTACACTCACAACCAGTCGGTAGAGGAGCTTCAGGTTTCCTACACTCACAACCAGTCGGTAGAGGAGCTTAAGGTTTCCTACACTCACAACCAGTCGGTAGAGGAGCTTCAGGCTTCCTACACTCACAACCAGTCTATAGAGGAGCTTAAGGTTTCCTACACTCACAACCAGTCGGTAGAGGAGCTTCAGGCTTCCTACACTCACAACCAGTCTATAAAGGAGCTTAAGGTTTCCTACACTCACAATCAGTCGGTAGAGGAGCTTAAGGTTTCCTACACTCACAACCAGTCGGTAGAGGAGCTAAAGGTTTCCTACACTCACAACCAGTCGGTAGAGATGCTTAGGGTTTCCGACACTCACAACCAGTCTGTAGAGGAGCTTCAGGCTTCCTCTACTCACAACCAGTCTGTGTAGGAGCTTAAGGTTTCCTACACTCACAACCAGTCGGTCAAGGAGCTTCAGGCTTCCTACACTCACAACCAGTCTGTAGAGGAGCTTCAGGCTTCCTACACTCACAACCAGTCTGTGTAGGATCTTCAGGCTTACACACAACCAGTCGGTAGAGGAGCTGCAGGTTTCCTACACTCACAACCAGTCGGTAGAGGAGCTTCAGGTTTCCTACACTCACAACCAGTCGGTAGAGGAGCTTAGGATTCCTACACTCACAATCAGTCGGTAAAGGAGCTTTAGGCTTCCTCTACTCACAACCAGTCTGTGTAGGAACTTAAGGTTTCCTACACTCACAACCAGTCGGTAGAGGAGCTTCAGGCTTCCTACACTCACAACCAGTCTATAGAGGAGCTTAAGGTTTCCTACATTCACAACCAGTCGGTAGAGGAGCTTCAGGCTTCCTACACTCACAACCAGTCTATAAAGGAGCTTAAGGTTTCCTACACTTACAATCAGTCGGTAGAGGAGCTAAAGGTTTCCTACACTCACAACCAGTCGGTAGAGAAGCTAAAGGTTTCCTACACTCACAACCAGTCTGTAGAGGAGCTTCAGGCTTCCTCTACTCACAAACAGTCTGTGTAGGAGCTTAAGGTTTCCTACACTCACAACCAGTCGGTCAAGGAGCTTCAGGCTTCCTACACTCACAACCAGTCTGTAGAGGAGATTCAGGCTTCCTACACTCACAACCAGTCTGTGTAGTATCTTCAGGCTTACACACAACCAGTCGGTAGAGGAGCTGCAGGTTTCCCACACTCACAACCAGTCGGTAGAGGAGCTTCAGGTTTCCTACACTCACAACCAGTCGGTGGAGAAGCTTAGGATTCCTACACTCACAATCAGTCGGTAAAGGAGCTTCAGGCTTCCTCTACTCACAACCAGTCTGTGTAGGAACTTAAGGTTTCCTACACTCACAACCAGTCGGTAAAGGAGCTTAAGGCTTCCTCTACTCACAACCAGTCGGTAGAGGAGCTTAAGGCTTCCTCTACTCACAACCAGTCTGTGTAGGAGCTTAAGGTTTCCTACACTCACAATTGTCGGTAGAGAAGCTTAAGGTTTTCCACACTCACAACCAGTCGGTAGAGGAGCTTAAGGCTTCCTCTACTCACAACCAGTCTGTGTAGGAGCTAAAGGTTTCCTACACACACACACCCAGTCGGTAAAGCAGATTCAGGCTTCCTACACTCTATTTGATCCTTTGTCCCCAGTGTCCGTCCTCTATTTGATCCTGTGTCCCCAGTGTCCGTCCTCTATTTGATCCTGTGTCCCCAGTGTCCGTCCTCTATTTGATCCTGTGTCCCCAGTGTGCGTCCTCTATTTGATCCTTTGACCTCAGTGTCCGTCCTCTATTTGATCCTTTGTTCTCAGTTTCCGTCCTCTATTTGAACAATTGTCCTCAGTGTCATTCCTCTATTTGATCCTGTGTACCCAGTGTCCGTCCTCTTTTTGATCCTTTGTCCTCAGTGACCGTCCTTTATTTGATCCTGTGTCCCCAGTTCTCGTCCTCTATTTGATCCTTTGTCTCCAGTGTTCGTCCTCTATTTGATCCTTTGTCCTCAGTGACCGTCCTCTATTTGATCCTGTGTCCTCAGTGTTCGTCCTCTACTTGCTCCTGTGTCCTCGGTGTTCGTCCTCTATTTGATCCTTTGTCCTCAGTGTCCGTTCTCTATTTGATCCTGTGTCCCAAGTGTCCGTCCTCTATTTGATCATTTGTCCTCAGTGTTCGTCCTCCATTTGATCCTTTGTCCTCAGTGTCCGTTCTCTATTTGATCTTTTGTTCCCATTGTCCGTCCTCTATTTGATCCTGTGTCCCCAGTGTCCGTCCTCTATTTGATCCTTTGTCCTCAGTGTTCGCTCTCTATTTGATCCTTTGTCCTCAGTGTTCGACCTTTATTTGATCCTTTGTCCTCAGTGTCCATCCTCTATTTGATCCTGTGTCTCCAGTATCCGTCCTTTTTTTGATCCTGTGTCCCTAGTGTCCGTCATTCATTTGATCCTGTGTACTCAGTGTCCGTCCTATATTTGATCCTTTATCATCAGTGTCCGTCCTCTATTTTATCCTTTGTCCTCAGTGTGCGTCCTCTATTTGATCTTTTGTCCCCAGTGTCCGTCCTCTATTTGATCTTTGGTCCTCAGTGTCCGTCCTCTATTTGATCCTGTGTCCCCAGTGTTCGTCATCTATTTGATCCTTTGTCCTCAGTGTGGGTCCTCTAATTGATCTTTTGTCCCCGGTGTCCGTCCTTTATTTGATCCTTTGTCCTCAGTCTACGTCCTCTATTTGATCTTTTGTCCCCAGTGTCCGTCCTCTATTTGATCTTTGGCCATCTGTGTCCGTCCTCTATTTGATCCTGTGTCCCCAGTGTTCGTCATCTTTTTGATCATTTGTCCTTATTGTCCGTCCTCTATTTGATCCTGTGTCCTCAGTGTCCGTCCTATATTTGATCCTTTATCCTCAGTGTCCGTCTTCTATTTGATCCTTTGTCCTCAGTGTCCGTCCTCTATTTGATCCTGTGTCCCCTGTGTCCGTCCTCTATTTGATCCTTTGTCCCCAGTGTCCCTCCTCTGTTTGATCCTTTGTCCTCAGAGTCCGTCCTCTATATGATCCTTTGTCCCCAGTGTCCGTTCACTATTTGATCCTTTCTCCTCAGTGTTCGTCCTCTATTTGATCCTTTGTCCTCAGTATCCTTTCTCTATTTCATCTTTTGTCCTCAGTG